ACTTGCCACGTAAGCAGTGAGCCGAGGGCATCATATTGAACGTCAAACGTGTGCCGCGTGAGTAAAACAACGCTCCAAAACAGCAGTGTGTCTGGGAGCCGAAATTCGCGACTTTGCAAGTTTTTTTCTCAATTTAATTTTTTCATTCCTTTCTTATAATTTTTTTGCAGACGAAGTTTGCTCCATTTTGGCGTGCCAGGTCAACCGAATGCTGCTACAGGGCGACCCCTTCCTTACTCCTGAATGAAAATCCTGGATCCGCCTCTGTCAGGGATGTTCGTCACACATTGGCGACATTAGGTGTGACACAGTGCGAGTACTCAGTCCTCGGGGAGCGCGCACATTGCTCAGACGTGTTCCACGGGATTCCGCTAGTCAGACATGGCACAACTGTGGGACAGCTTTCAGTGCGACACAGCAGCTATACTACCAGATGTGTGGATAGAAATCAAAATAAATGGAACTGTCAGTTGGATCATGGATCGGACCCAAAGAAGTCATGAATTCAGGGTTACAACCCCCTACCATTGGACCAATCCAAATAACACGGTGCGCCTTTGGGATCTAGTTACATCCCAGTACACAGCATTAGCTGATCGATGATCAGTCTAACGATTACTTCACGCGCGACAGAGGCAATGGGTAACGAGCGCGCAGCCTAGCACAATGACCGGCAAACAACACTGCAGTAAGGCAGTCGCCATGCGACAGCAAGTGGCGTGGGCCCGCCTATCGGAGCCGAGGGGGACAGCGCTGGCGCGGCGCGGCTCCCGCGGAGGAGCTCAGCGACCTTCGACGCGACGGAGCGCGGGCGGCACCGACTCGGCTGCCAGGGGGCACTCCCGCACCGGACGTGACGGCGGATGACGTCGTCGGGCCTGCCGGGCATCCCGCGGCTCCGCGCGGCCGGCGGTCCGGCTAAAGTTCCTCCGGCCATGGGGATGGGTAGCCCATGGAGCGCAGCTTGTTGGTCTGCACCTCGCGGTACACGGCCTCCGGGAACGGGTTGACGGTGAAGAAGGCTAGCAGCGCCACACCCGTGGCCAGCACCACCACCAGCAGGCTGTTGAGCAGAAGCGCTGGCGGCGCGGCTGCCGGATGCTGCTGACCTCCAGCAGGTGGCGCTGCAGCTCTGCCGCGTGCGCCTTCTCGGCCGCGGCGCTCTCGTAGCCGCATATCCAGTTGTAGGCCCGCTGCCAGACGGCCGGCTCTGGGGGCGGCCGGCGTGTCATCGCGCCGCCAGCCGGCCGGGTGTGGGCTCAGGCTGGAGAAGTCTGCGGGGTTGCCGCAGGCCTGCCACAATCAATAGCGCAGCACCAGCGAATTCGGATGGGCCGTCGGACGGTTCATCGCAATTAATGAATCGCCTCGACCTGAAACCTCGAGCCGAGAGTTCAGACGGCTACCGAAAACACGGGCCGTTTTGAGGCATGGTACTCAACAGCCATTTGCACGCGACGCACGGTTGATCCCACCCGCATCAAAGGTGGTACGTACAGTTGTGCAATACGCAGACATATACACACATGGTCGCTCCGTCCGCACTCATCATGCGCACCTGTGGCCGACGCAGGTTCGCAGCCTCCTCTCACCTGGACGGTCCAGCTCGTCTGTCTCCAGAGCGAACTTGTCGGTGTCGGCCGGCTCGGCCGGCGCCGCCTCATCCTGGCGCCTCTCCTCCGAGAAGCGGGTGAAGAAGGTGGTGCGGATGACGCGCCAGTGCTCCGGCGGCTCGGTCAGCAGCGACACGGCCGCCGCCACCACGCCCCGTCAGCCAGAACAGCAGCATCGCGAAGTACATGTAGTGCATCTGAAGTCAGCAAAGCACGCTGAACACGCAGCTGCCGGTTGGGTGCCAACGCTCTAGCCTCTCACAAGCTTTGCGTTTCGTCCTGGTCGAATTTTGTGAGGTTCGTTAAAGGAAGTGGGTCTACTGCGGAAGTTACTAGATATCATTTTTAGGAGACGAGCGTTTAAGTAAGCAAAACTTCAACGGTAAAAACGCTCAACTGAAGCATTTTCGCTTGTACACTTTCTCCGGCAACAACGCCGTGGACTAGTACACCGTCATAAATGATGTGCCTCACCCACCCCCACCTGGTTTAGATTTTTTAAAAATCGCGAATTAGCATAGCGTTAAGATAAAACACGGCAACAAGAAAAAAACACTAAATGAATTGAAAGGGTATGTGAAAACTTCCGCAAACTTTTTCTTTGGTAGCCCAACTTCGTTATGAACAGGCGGAAGAGGTTGCTGCAAAACCCTCGAGACTTTCAGGGTGAACTAAGATGGACTTTGATCCGCAATAGCCGGAGAGAAGCGCCGTCACTGCCCCGAGCTCCTCGCCAGCGACTGACGTTCTCTCGCCGGGGTATTACGTCACCGCGCTTCTTCGGCTCGAACTCCAGCGGAGGCCGGCGCATGTGATCTTGGCAGCGGCACGCATGACAACCTTGGCCTGACGTCGGGCGGGCGGGCCCGTGCCCACCACCCGTCAGCGCGCATGTCACTCCACCCACCTTGGCCACGACAGCCGGCCGGGTGTCCTCAGTCTCCCAGCACTTTGGCGCGTCGAACATGTACACGAAATCCAGCACCATCCGAATGACGCCAACGATGAAGCCGCTCATCAGTCCCCAGAAGGCGCCCTGCCAGCGGAGGTGGCCGGTCAGCCAGGTCCCGTGGCGTCTCCTGACGATTCACCGTCGGATCCATCATTCACAGTGTCCTGTTACCCTGATCATTCAGCGTCGGATAGATGAAGTAGCCGTGATCGGACCCGCAGTACACGCATTGCCGCAACAGCTGGCGACATGTTAGGCAGTCGTACAGCCTGGGCCCGGCCGTGGACGACCACCGCGGAGTCGAGTATCGCCCCGGAGGCAGCGCAGCCCCGACGGCCAGCGCGATCGACACGGTTACACGTTGGAGGTAATCGCCAACGATCTGTATACCGTTCGCTAGTCAGTGTTACACCTTCTTCGAGTCGGTTCGTCGCCCGTTACGTAGTTAATTACATTTCAGTTCATAGTTAAGTGATGTTGTAGTTGTGTTGTAACCATATACTAAACTTGTTGTCTTGAGACACGCACAATACAAAAAGACACGTAGCATACCAAAAGAACGCCACCTCAGATCCCAATCCTTCAGTGGATGATGGTGTTTGGGTCATCTGACGAAAGATTGCAATCCCAGTATGGTGGCGTTTTTTAAACGTTTACTGTGTACTTCATATGTTTGAGTCTCATACCGATGTGTTTTATATATGACTGACCAGCACATCTACCTAGGGTACCGGTGGATCCAGGCGCACCAGCCGGGCGTGGCATTCGGAAACGGTGGGGACAGAAACGCCCCATATTTAGGTCAGATTTGCACGTAATCGCACGTTTGGACCTCCCTCCGCCCAGGCCAGATCGGACGGTGGGTCAGGTCAGGCACTGCCAAACATTCATACTGCGCGACCTGCCCCGAACGACCCCACCGTCATATGACCTCAGATTCCACCGCGCTCGCAGTGGAACACGCTCCCCGCCAGCCCAGCTACGACGCAATACTGCGACGATCGATAGACACGAAACGAGCAGCCCGACCGACCGCTGACGTGGACCGAATGGAAAGTTACAGAAAGGCCGTGACCGCTACACGTCCGTGCGGGACTCCGAGGGGGAGTCACAAAGTTTGGCCCTTATTCATCCAACGTGCCCATCAAAAATCAGCGCTTGTCAGCGAGCCATCAGGCCGTCCGGGTCAATGCTCAGCGCCTCAAAGTGCGTCGGACGGTGCGGTGCGACGCGAGCAGAATCGAAGAGTCTGTCATAGCGTCTGGCATTCAATTCCTGAAGCTACCAGATACAAATTTAGGTATGACTGTGAGTATCTAACAGAAGTGTGTAACATTAAGTGGTTCAATGTACTTCACTTAAAGCGCAATTTTGTAACTTTACCACTACCATTTCCGCAATTACATTGCAAGGTCTCCCTCCCCCCATGAATGCG